AGCTGCTCCACGCTTGGTTTGAAGCGGGCTTTGTGCAGGTTTCGCTCGGCTGTGGCTGAGGGGGGTTCCTGGCACACCTGGGTGGGCCAGGATGCGGGTGGTGGGTGAGTGTGCTTCCACCGCGCCCTCAACTGGCGGTGAGTCTGGGGAACTTCACCCCCCCACACCGTGAGGCGGGAACCTCGGGCCTGCCGCACCTTCTTGGCTGACCCTCTTTCTCTTGCCCGTTTTGTAAACACCACCTGGGTTCACCACAGGCAGCCGAGTGGACAGCCCAGCTGCATGCTTCACTGGGCTCCAGCTGGATGCTGGAGGCTCGGGGACCAATCAGTGACTCTGAAAGAAGTGACATTGCTGGTCACTGATCATGTGGTGCATCCGTCATCTGCATGTGATCGGTGCCTGGGAACTGGCGGAGCTGCTGTGCTTTATGTAGTTGCTCAGCTAATGCCAAGGGAACGGAAACTTGGACTGAGCTGTTGGGACTGGAACTCACGTGTCAGCACCGTGCGGAATGGGGCCTGGGATTCAGAACCGGCTTATTTTGTTTATTTGTTTATTTTTGGTACTGGAGATGGAGCCCAGGCCGCTCTTCCACGGAGCCCCTGCCCTGTTTACTTTGAGATAGCGTTCTGCTAATCGCCCGTGGCTGCCTGGAACTTACAGTCCTCTTGCCTCGGCCTCCCACGTCGCTGGGATTCCTGGCGGGTGCCACTGTGCCCAGCTCAGGATTGGTCGAAAAGTCTCTCTAAAGCAGCTTTTTAAATTGCGGTTTCTGATCAGTTTGGCTCAGAACATAAAAGACTGTTGGTGAGGATGAGCTGGTGCCCGTGTTCTCAGCCTGTGGAGGGTGCAGTGACATCATTCAGACCCTGGAGGTGTTCGGTGGGAGTGAAAGACGAGTGTCAGATCCTCATGCTGCCATGTGCAGTGTGGCCTTGGACCAGACACTTGACCTCTCTGAGCTTCTGCCTCTCCTGCAAAAAGGGGACCCCGGTCAGCGCCTGCCGTGGGTCCCTGAAGACTGAGCAAGCTGCTCTGGAGTAGAGGAGAGGACGCTCGGGAGATGCATGCTGTCAGCTCCGGGGCCTGGGCAGGGCGGAGGGCCCCGAGCCGGGTGGTGGGGTCCAGCCCTGCCACGTGTCTGCTTGAGGCAGCGAGGGAGATGGGTCCTCGCTGTCCTGGGGACCCTGCAGCGCCCCTCTGTGAGGCTGTTCGGGCGGCGTGCTTGACGCACAGGGGTCCCGGGAGCCCAGAACAAGCAGCAGGCCCAGGCCTGCCGAGCTGGCGGCCCACGCGCCCACCCCCATGCTGTGAGCTGCAGGTCGGTCTCCTGCTGCCAGGGTGGCCTCGGCCCCGGTCCCCCTCTCTGGTCCCCGTGTGGTCTCCTGCTCACCCTCGTCTGCCCTCCCGCCCACAGGCAGCTGCTGAAGACGGAGCTCGGGCCCTTCTTCACGGAGTACCTGCAGGTGGGTGGCGCTTGCTGGCCAGGGAGGACGGGGTCACCTGCTGATGCTGGGTGTGGCTCCGGCTGCGCCGCAGCCTGCGAGGGGAGTACACGGACTTGCTTCACGTGGCTTGGTGTCCCTGTCCAGCCAGTGTGGGGTGTGGTGGTGCTTAAGAAAGACGCAGGTGAGTCGTAGTGACGTCCCTGACACCAAGAGGACTTGGTGCTGGTGATGGTCCACCCCCAC